ATAACATATTTATAGCATCTACCATATTACTGGTACGTGCCAGAGTACAGAAAGGATGGTTAATACCAGCATCACTGAGAACATTCAACAAAAGTTTATATGAAGAGGCGATACACTTTCAGCATTACGGTCACAAACCATCTGCTTAACACTGGTCATGGTGTTGACGTCTCAAAATCCTTCAAGATTAATGATACACAGAGAACATCAAATTTACTACGATTTGCCGAAGTAACTGCCATCAAAAAACTTAAACAAAATATATGTATCCAGAATGATGAAGTTGTCAGTCTTGCATTGCCATAATGAACTCATTCATAAATAGTTGCTACTTAATTCTTCTTTTCATGACAATAATTATTAATTCTCACCTATTATATGATCTGTATTCAGTTATTTAATTTTGATTTGAGTTACATAACTATGACATAAATATATATTATTTCCAAATAATTCTGTTCCTACGTTCTTACTTGTTTATTCTAGAATGTTCTTATATTCAACTAGCCCTCAAATGTCTTGGTACGGCCGAGAGTGAGGAGAGAGAGTTCTCCGTCTCCAAATCCTCTCAAGTGGCCACGTGCAACCACTGCCACGGAAGTCGTTTCCAAAGTTGAGAGGACGAAAAGCGAATGTCTGGCGTTTTAACTGAGTTGGTGGACACGGAGAGTCCACCTAGGGGAGTTGGAAAACCCCGATTCAAAACCAATGATGTGCATGGGCTCCAGGATCCTGAAGGAACAAATGGTGTATGAACCAATTATTGGTCACCGGCTACCATGGAACTACATCTACTGATGTTGCTCCACTGCCTTATGGATCAGACCTGTAGGTCGAACTCTACGGGTATGACCTCCTAATAAAACTACCTGCTTCGGTCTGGGCTCCCAGGTAGTATCACAGCCCACACACAAATCAAGTGACTTGTGTGACGCATATGTATTCGGTGTCTCCTTGTACCAATGTTTATGCGTTTAAATAAATAAATAAATATACTTATGAAAATTCACATTGATTAACATATGAACACCTCTCGTCATTTTCTCATATTTATTGTCCTTTTCATTAAGCTGCATTGGTGAGAACTCTTCCGAAATTATGATACATAAAATATGTATACTGATTTCTTTTTTAAGATTAATTGCACAAATAATTGGCTATCAGCTTTCAGTAGCTAAATGGATAACGTGATAGGGTTTGAAGCGGACGGTACTGGATTCAAGCCCTAGAGTGAATGTTAACTCTGAAATGCAGGTACATCCAGCTGACGAGTATCAAAATAGGACATAACGCGCGTCGTGGATTCCACTGCTAGCCACTGTCTATCTTTCCTATTATGTTTAGGTTGTGAGCAACTGATAAGGAACTGCGAAATACAATAAATTCATTTTATTTTGGACAGCTGTTTCATCCCAGTGTATGGGACTTATTATCAGTGCGCACCGATGATTCTGCCTGCGAGATTCGAACCCACAACCTTCGATCTCTGCTAAAGAGTCCCAGTTTAGGACAAAACGGTCGTTCAATACTTCCAGGTTTTCAACGGCGATCTAACATTTATTGATTCATGATCTCAACCAAAAACTCAACAATTTCCACAACCTTATACTCGTTTTATTGTACTAAATTAATTGTTCTTGCTTTAGTTATGAGTCATTGAGCATTATTAGCTAATGTCATTGTGGCTATCTAGCTAGAAAGTTGTTTCCTTGATCTGGGACTAGTATTATTAGTAATATGTATATGAGTGTATTCATTTCAGAAGAGCCGCACTTTTTAAACTTTAAAAGGTTAGTAGTTTCAAGGTCTCACATACCTCTTATTCATGAGTACCGACTATTCTAAAGTCTGTATCGAAAACTTATTGTTGATTACCTCCAAGAACCTAATATTTTGATACTATAAGTTTTACGAATCTCTTTGCAAGAGGTTAACTTCTATCACAATTAGACACTATCCACAGAACTGATGTATGATATTGTGTCATGATACACTTAATGTCTTCAAACTTGGGAGAAACCAGAATGTATCATATTATAACGAACACTATTATATAATACGATGAGTTAGGCATTATCTAAATCAATACAATTGTCAGTTAATCTACTTTTGAATCCACTATTTCATCGCCCCCAAATGCCCTGGTACGGCCGAGAGTGGGGCGAGTCCGCTCTCCCTCTCCAAATGCTCTCACATGGCCACCCGTATATAGCCTCTGCCAGGGAAGTCCTACTCACTGCCTTCTCGTGGCGGGAGTGTTGTTTACGAAAATGAGAGGACGAAAAGCGAATGTCCGGCGCTTTAACGGAATTCCAAACCAATGGTGCACATGGGCTCCAGTATCCTGCGGGAACAAATGGCGTATGAACCAATTGCTGGTCACCGGCTTCCATGGGACTGCATCTCCTTACGATGCTCGACTGCCTTGTGGATCAGACCTTCAGGTCGAAGGCTCGGGGAGTGGCTCACTAAGAAAACCACCTGCTTCGGTTTGGGCACCCGGGCAGTATCACAGCCCTCACACATATCGAATGAGATTTGTGTGGCGCATATGTATTTGGTGACTCCTTGTACCGCTATCTATGTGTTAAAATAAATAAATAAATAAATAAGAATGGATTAATTCAATTCAGATAATTACACTGTTTGTAATATTGGGTCTTAACTAGTCAATATGACTGTAATGAATTTTACGTTATTGCTTAATTTTCGACTATAATTATACAACTAGATAAAATCTTAATTTGTATCTAAAATGGCATTTCTTACATACTTGCTTACTTACTCCTGTTACTCCCAATGGAACATAGGCCGTTAACCAGCAAAATGGCATTTCGCTGAGACTATAAATCATGGACAACCGTTGAGCAACGCTGAAGTAACCATGAGAGTGTTCATCTAATGGCCGGTATCAAATGAGGGTTATAAATTAGTGTGAGGAATTAGAATTATGATTTACAGTTGATAATTAGGGTTAGGAATTAAATTTAGCGGTTTCATCACGAACTGACATCAGCTATAATGTCAAAACTTTATTTAGCCAAATGGATGAGTGAAAATTCGAGACCTATAATCTTATACCTGATTAGTTTGTCCATAGATTATAGTCTCGCCGGTATTTCTTCTTAGGTGGCTGATCATATTGTAGCGGTAAATAAATCCTCAAAATCAATAGCTCTGTAAATCTTCGACATTTGATGCTGATCACATTTATTTTAATGGACTCACTTAACTAAAGGCGCACCAGATCACGAGTTGATGCATTGTGCTCAACTTCTCTTACAACTGCTAGCCAGTTTAGAACAGTCACCTCTTGATATATCGATAGTCTATCAAATATATCTTCGAATCTCTTCACTTCAGACTTCTGATTTCATTGAGTTGGTACGTTTCGATTATAGAAGATGTTAATAGTTAAGATATTGTCAAACTTCAAACACTTTTGACATCTTTAATATCAATGAAATTTACATCAGAAGTACTATCATTATCTATTTAGGATTGGTTGTGAATAAACCATGTTTGATATTATTCAATTAGCTAAATATAATACCATTTACCTACAGCTAATACAAATTGAAACCAAACATACAAACTTATTTATTACACCCATCCATAGAGAAAACAAATTTTCTTTTGGATTAATTAAAGGAAGACAAAAACAATTGGGTAAATCAATTTTTAAAAGGGCCCTAAATAGGGCCATTGACCGTTCTCGGATTTGTATACCATTTGTACTGTAACTCGAACTGATGTACGTACGTACGAAGTTATACTTTGTTGCTGACTGACTGACTGACTGACGTTAACAGTTAGATCTTTGTTTAATTCAACTCATTCGTAAATATTGAACTCAATCTTCATCCTTTGTTCATTTCTGATGAATTCTGGATCTGTATTTATCTCATCTAAAGTGTATATGAAGCTCAAGAGAAACACATTCATATACATTATAAATACATACATTTATTTAGCTTATCTATGACCTATTTGTGTATTGCTTCCAGTTTTATAATCTTTCTACTGAAAAAAACCACTTCAATATCTGGGTGGTATGTATAGACAAACGCTTATCCAAGAGATTCCCACCAATCTGATATTTAAGGAAAATAACTGAATATTCAGTGAAGTACAGTGTGAATAACTGCAAGACCTTTCTATGAAGTGATAGCAAATTTATCATTCCAAATTATTCCAGGAGATTTTTTGGTGGGATTATAATTTATGGACAACCTTTGAGTGAAGCTAAAGTGACCTTGGAAACGTCCACCTAATAACTAGGACTATATGAGGGTTGTAAACCAGTGAAAGGAATTAGAATTATGATTTACGGTTGATGGTTAGGGCTAGGAATTAGATTTATGGTTTCTATCACGAACTGACATCGGTTATGATGTCAAAACGCTACTTAACCAAATGGATGGGTGAATTTTGCGCCAAAACCTCAGACTGGTAATCTTGTATCTGATTGGTTCGTTCATAAATTATAGTCTCACCAATCATGATATTTTCAGAAAAGCTTCATATGTATCAAAGATATACTGAAGTCAAACTGAAACTGATATCTTTCAATCATTTTGATTTTCATCTTTAAAAATGAAACGAAACTCTTAATAATCTAAAGTTTAGGCTTAGTTCACCATTTCTGGTCATGTTTGGGAGATGAAAACTTGTTTATCTCTTTAGTTTAAATAACTAACCTTTAAAAGACTGGGTCATTATTTAACTGACAAAAAGAAGTTTGTCAGCATAGAGCGTAAACATATCCAGTCACTATGTTTGTCCCATAATTAACTATTATCAATGCATATAACAAACAGTTTCCTTAAAGTAATCATAATCACGGCTTAATCTGAAAGATCCTAATAAAATTGAAATACCACCAACCGTCAACACGAAGTGTTTGGTTGCATTCCACTGTGTGCCAATTTGCCGATTTCATTAGTTCGAAATTTGATTGTAAGAGTGTGTAGAGACTCCATTAACCAAATTACCAACTATTATTCTCGTTCTTTATGAACACGTTGATGTGCGCGCATATTTGAACGATCAGCAAAACGTCGGCCACATATAATACATTCATATGGTTTTTCACCTGTATGCGTTCTATAATGTATATCACGAAGCCATGGACGTGAAAAACGTTTACCACAATCTTGACAATGAAATGGCAATGTATGCGTTGCTTCATGTAATCTAAAGTTAACAACAACAACAACAACAAAGATGAAAAACATTGATCTTGTATAATTTAATAATCAATACTTAACATATTCTTGGTGTATATTCAATATTCAATATCAGCAACTATAAGATTCGATCAAGATTATTCTCAACTTTATCATTGATCAACAAATGCATTACATTCAGCATTCTCAGCCGGGTAAGTGTTACATATTAGAGTGTAGCTTCCATTAAAGATTAGTGATATATATATATACTATGGTTAATGATCATAATCTATCACTATCTCTTAACAAAGCATAAATTTATGATTGTTCATACATGAAAGTTCATTATGTTTTATATTCAAACGATACTACTTGTTCGATAAAATAATTGAACAGATGCTTATAATCTAATAGTTGAGTTATTAAGTCAATTAAATGTAGACTACTATGGAAAACCTGGAATCATTGATTGTCTGTTTTGTTCTAGTATGGTGATCTAGCTTTAATGGACTCATGAATTCAACTAGTAAATTATTACAATCTCCAGAAAACCTGTAGTGATCTACTTTTATCAAGAGAACGAGATTGGTTTAATGGAAACAATAATTATTATAACCAATTGTACCAGTGATTGTTTTACTGTACTTGTTTGTTTAACTGTACTAAAGACATACATTCTTCCGTTGATTGTGAACTTGCACGAATTCGATTACGCTCAGTAACCACACTTGTACTCCTTTGGCACGATCTCGGTATTCTTTCAATACCACGAAATCGACTACAGCCATCAACTACCTTCTGATATTTGGCCTACGGGGAATCTTATTGGTTAGCTGGCACGTAGTCTTTCTGTAGTGGTGATCATAGTCAGTCGCGACTCGACGCCTCACTGCAAACCTTTTTCAGTTGCTTGTAAATTATTCACTGTTGAACGTTGACAATTAGTAAGTGTATTCAGGAAGTAATTAATATATAGGCAGTTAACTTAAATATCTTGGCTATCTATTCCTGCCATCTAGATATTCAAACAAGTTATCTGTTTTATTTTCTATTTGATTTAACAGATTATTATATCAATTAATTGCACAACTTATTCAAGTGTGTTTATGAAAAGTTCACGGCTTTTCGCTGTACAAGTTAGGAAAGAGCACAATCAAAGACATTAGGATTGCTGGCAATATACATCGAAAAGAATTTACATTATTCACATGTCGATTACTGAACTGCTAACATCTAATTGGTGATTACTCAATATTTATCGTCAGGATCGATCAAGAAATCAAAACTTAACTTCGTGGATTGGTTGAAGTTAGACATTAACACCGTTGGATGCCGGCTCAGTGGTCTAGTGGTTAAGTGCTCGCGATGCTGAGGAGTCCCATACCAGGACGAAACGGCCGTCCAGTGCTTCCAGGTTTTCAATGGTGGTCTAGCTTCAACTGACTCATGATTTCAAAAACTGTTAAAAACTATATGCTGAGAATTCTATATTATACCAAAAATTTAATATTGAATAAAACCCAGATTCAAATCTCGCGAGACGAGATCGTAGATGCGCACGGCCGTCCAGTGCTTCCAGGTTTTCCATAGTAGTTTAACTTCAATTGACTCATGATCTCAATTCTTGAAATTACTATAATATTCACAAAAACCCCGTTCTAAGGTAATTTAATTAGGTGATTAACTTCTGTTAACTTAGATATGAATATAACTCAGTACTGTTATTTTCAACAGTTGTGAACTAGGACATCACTTACTGTTAGTTAGTACTTTGTTTTCTTTTCTTACCTATGAAAACTATTTGTTTAAATTTATTATGGAACTCCTCAGCAATGAGCATCTATGATCCCGGCTTATGAGATTCGAATCCAATGCCTATCGATCTAGTGCTTCCAAATTCCTTCATGGTGGTCTAACTTCAATTAACTCATGAATTCAATTATTAAATGACTAAAATCTTCACACAAAAAACCCTTTTCTAATAATAAATTCAATATGCTAAATCAAATGAATTACCTTATTGACGATTTCAGTGAATACGATTTTCCACAATATCGACAATTATATTGTTCATCAGTTGTTTTTATCACATTTTTTATTGATTGTTTCATCATTAATGATGAGTTACAATTAAAAATGGATAAATCCATTGGGTATAATTGTTCATTATCAAGAAAATATTGATTTTCAATCATATTCAATTGATTATTCTGTTGATTATATTGATTAAAACATTTAATTGTTCTATTTGTTTTAATTAATGGTGTAGAATTTTCATTATTTTTAAAAAATATACTACTTATATTAGAATTATTGATTAATGGCAACGATGATGATGGTGATGATGATGGCGATGATGATGACATTGATGGTGTATGTGATAAGATAGAATCGATTGAGAATTTTAATTTGGAAATTTTTTGTTTAGACTGATTCACTCTATTCAAACTATCAATACTTTCATAACCACTATCGTTACAACAGATTTGACTCGTTGTACATGAGTCCAATTTAAATTATCAAAAATAGTTGGGAAAGTTTGAATAATGATTAAAGTATTGTGGAATATAGACATTGAGAAAGGTGCTCTGGTGTAGGAATAGTGTACAAAAGAAAAGAAATGTAATCAAGAATGATGGATAGAATAATATACTCATATTGTATTAACATATATTATATATTATATATATATAAGTGCTTGCGCACGAAACTGAAGGTCTGGGCGGATCCCGTGAGCGAATTGGGGATGCCCAATACAGTCGAAGTTGAAAGAGCTCTTCGAGTACTTGATGGTGCAGTTCTAGTATTATGTGCTGTCGGTGGAGTCCAATGTCAAACAATCACAGTGACTAGGCAAATGGATCGTTATAATATACCTCGAATCGCATTATTAACAAACTGATCGCCAAGGTGCAGATCATGTTCGAGTTCTTAATCAAATAAGGTGATTCCTAAGACCAAGCTTCATAAATTTGCTAGTTTTATCTAGTTTTAATGATTATCACTGTTTCAGCAACTTGTAAACTAATCACATTCTAACTCCACAACTTATTGTCCGGATCGTAGTTGTAGAATCTACCAATATAGTGAATTATTATTTACTGGTTTTCCTATCTGTACTGGTTCAGAATAATCAGTTACACAGAGAATCGAGTGCAATTTAGGCCATATTTGAATAAACGATAGCTTGTGCCAATACAGTTCACCGTCATTGAAATAAATCTTTTTACGAGAGGAAACTTCGTAAACCATTCTTAAATGTTTTAAGGAGGATGTTATTGTAATGGTCCGCGACTAGAATTCTGAACCCAGTTCATATAACTTATTTCGTATATCAAGCTAATTTGAAATTAGTATTTGATTCAGTAAAAGTAGAGCTGATTAATCACTTTATGGGCATGTAACTTGGACTTTAGAAGTTGGAGGCATGCATAAGCTGCAGGTTTTTGATGATAGATGTCTTCGAAATGTTGCTCGCGTCCCATGGAGCAACTGAGTGTGTAATGTTGAGGTTAAGCTTAGGGTGTTAGTTAAATGTGACAAATCTGGCGAAAATTGTAGTCATTGACCACTAGTTTGAGCCATATAGATATGTCTGGATCCCCTAGTTGGGGTCACTGCGATAGTTGCTATCAGTGATTGAAGATGGTAGATGAAATGACTTAGGATTGGTTACAATGGCTTAGGTTCGTCCACTTTTTATTTTCATCTGAATCTTGAGTTTTAGTATTCCTTCATGTATACCTTTTCATTCAGTTTTCGAACCGTATTATCGATGTTTAGTCTTTCTCATTATCATTACTAATGCATTATTTCGACTTGTTAATTTCCTCTCGTCGTACTAACATAATATGCCAACTCGTGAAATTAAATATTTGTTCCGCGCTCTACGCTGATTATGACTGTCACAGTTGACAAAAGATTAGCTGCATCAATAGTTAGCACAAAAGGAAGTATGAACTCATCGCACCTGAAGGAATACGTATGCGTTAAATAGATCCTTTTTTGAATAAACTATTGAGAATCTTAATGAACCATGCAAAAGTAACTTGACTCTATTGACACAATTCTCTGTCAACAATAACTACACCATAGTTCGTTCATAATCATGATAATAGTGTTGTCGTTATGCATCCGATTTATTGAGTTTGTTCGATTATCTTTATATAGAAATTTAGCTGTAGAAATTGTTCACTTCTAATTACAGGAAATTTGCAAATAAATAAACAAACTAAATATTAAAACACTTGGCAGATGACATAAAATGGTTATTGTATGAAATTACTGACTACTAGTTCAAGCCTTATCGTTAGGTGCAGACCTCCTGGTTTGGGTCTCTACAATACTCTCAATTTTTGAGTTACATGACTCAATATCGATTGTACTAACCGAATCGCATTCTTCTGTCTTCTCCCAAAGCACTAGTTATGCCATTCCTAGGTTTTCAGTCATTTGTTTCGTTTATTCCGTTAAACTATTTTTCACGTTCTTATTCGCATTTTAGTCGAAACTAATTTTTATCCTTTGCTTCTCGTTTCATTAATTCCCAATCTTAGTGTACTAACTTAGGGTATGTGTATACAATAACCTTTGGATGCCATTTAAAGTAACATCACTTTGAAATATTGACTAGTGGACGATTAATGTTTAGTCTCAATGTCTACCCAAATCCGATCGAAAATTATTCAAATTCACTTGTTTAATTATCTAAATGCCATTTATATTGTAAATACATATACTCCTTTCCTTCTCACCGATTTTTGTTTAGGTCAAAGCTTAACTTCAATTCAGCTTTTATTAATATACCCATATGTCAAGAGCCAAAAAGTACAGGAATAATTGACTTGATTAGTGAGACAGTTGTTTATTTTGATGAACCGTTTGGGTAAGTGTTTGAGTAAAGATTTTTTCTCATCAGTTTTTGCATTCCCCTCTGTTATAATTCTCTCTTAGGGTTATAACCCAACTATTCCTATTGCTTAGTATTCTCGGACACTGATTCACTCGACAAGTCCTCAAATCAGAACACGGTTGTTTAGGAAAAGAGGTTATATTCCAAATAACAAAGTTAGATGGAAGTGAGTAAATGCAATAGGGAAAACGTTAGTATATTTATAGTTTTTTCACATGAGATTTCTAGTGTTCACTAAGTATGTGCATTGAGCATGCTTTAATCCAGTCTATGTCCCGCTAACACCCTCCTTAGTTTTAATAAATATTTTGTATTCTCTCACTTAGTGCTGTAATTTAGTGGTCAACTTTTAACCGTTACTGATACGGACCCCTCCCCGTTTGCTTTAGGTTTTAGCTGGGGAGTAGCGTCACCGGTCGTCATACAAAGTGCGTTGCTCAACTCCGTATGAAATCATTATTTATCAGCCTCAATCGTTTATAAAACTGCGGACTACCAGAACGTGATTCTTAAGGTTAAACGCGTTAACAACTGAAAACCATGAAATAGTGTTGATCTCATTGATATGATGACATATCTTACCATAGTGTAACTCATCAAGTATACGTCCATTCACTCCTGTCCAATCCCATTGTTTGTCTAAGGAGTAGTAATGCTACTCAGCTACTTAAAACAAAGTATATAGAATTGGAACCCGAACCGTTCAGTGGATAAGTCACCATCCCATGTTTTCTTGTTTACTAGAATTCATTTACTTTCTAGCTGTTGTATCTTGTTCTACTAAACAGAATATGAAAATTTCACCCATTGAACTATTGTGCTACAATTTTTTATTGTTATTGTTGATGAATGAACTAAGGAGTTTTAGTATCCTTGATTTAAAGTTAAGTAGTAGTATCAAAGGCAACTACTTTTCATTTTATTTTGTAAAGTAGTTTGGTTCATCGATTTTATTTAATTTTATCGTTAAATATTGATAAGGGTAAGAAATATCATGTTTGTGTACACTCATCCTAATCTGTGATAACTATGATTAATTTATTTAATTTTTGTTGCGTGTTATTCTATGACTCTAAAGTTGTAATACGTTGAGGTGTAAGCATTTGAATGTGAACTAGTTAGTTACATATCTACATAGCCTTGGTCAAAGAGGAAATGTGACTAACTTTCTAACAGTAAATTTCACTTAAGATCTAAGACAAGAAGAGTGAATTCATCCATGCCACTGCGACGGATCTTAAGTCATGTCATCTAAGATCTTCGACCATTGACCACGATTGTTATATGGATCCCGACTGAATAGTCTGAACCTACCAACGTGGCTCAGACTAGCAGTCAATAACTTAATTGTTCGAACCCTTTTATCCCTCTTACAACCTATTCCTACTCCAGTTACTTTCTCGCACAAGGGTAGATTTCAGTTGCTCATCGATAATGTATATCCCAAACACCTCGGTGGATGAGAACTCAGCTTCATCCACTGACTTATTATACATCTTTAGTCTTAGGATTTCTCACCCTGTTGTTCCATGGTACTCAGGCTTCCGTTCAAAAATAATTTGATCTTCTCCTAATATTTTAGTGACAAACTCGGTTTATGATAAGAAAAGACCAATTTGTTTAAATTGGTCGGTAAACTTGACTGAAGAGTATAATAATATCATGTAACTGGAGTATTATCTGTCATTAGTTATGGTTGCTATACAGTTTAACGTGTCACATTATTAACCTTACATCTTTTGATTTAAAATGTACAATTTATCTTACTGTGATTTTTCCCTAATAGTTTAACTGTAAGACAGGATGCTATCCCATCTTCCATGTTAGCCGAAACTAAAGAACGTCGTGCTGAATTTATCGGTAATTTTATTTTGTTTTAATGAAATACAGTTTATTTTTATTTAGTCTTATGTTTTCCCTTTCATTATTCACCTTCTTTTTGCTCTGTTAACTTAATGGTTGCGTAACAGCTCAGGACCAATCTGAACGCCGTAAATACATTTACTCTTTGTATTCCCTTAGAGATTGAGTTTCAAAATTATTTTACACGTTTTGTTCTATATGACCATATAACTTTGCAATAGTATGTGATTTATTCAAACTTGCCTGGTATATAAGAATGAAATGTGTTATAATTTCTCTTATTACTACCCAGCTATTCCTATTGCTTAATATTCTGGGACACCAATTCACTCGACAATTACCCAAATCAGAACATAGTTGAACAGGAACGAAATCATATTCCATACAACATGGGTAGATGTAAGTAAGAAGCACAATAAGAAAAAAACGTTAATGTATTTATAGTTTTTACATGAAAAAAGGGGCATAATACAGGTTGACCATGATAAATGTCGACAATATACTATTCCACTAGTTGAAATCATGGGTCAATTGAAGCTAGACCACCATGGAAAACCTGGAAGCAATGGACGGCCGTTTCGTCCTAGTACGGGGCTCCTCGGCAGTGCGCATCCACGATCCCGTCCCCGCGAGATTCAAACCCAGGACCTATCAGTCTCGCGCCAGGCGCTTAACCAACTAGACCACTGAACCGGCAATGTTAATGTCTAACTTCAACCAATATACTATTTATGAAATGTTGTTTACGAGAATTCATAATCGAGAAGACTAAGCGAAAATTATCTACCTGAAGTTCAGAGCATAATTATATGTAGCCAGATCTATTAAAGTTTCGTAGTTACTTTCCTAGATTTTGATAAGCTTCATTATTGGTGTGGTTTATCTTTAGCCAGCCCGTAGTTTATAAACGAAACTGACACTTTAAAACCCATCTAGAACGTAGATACTTAGTTGATGACCGGATCACGTTTCAATTCTTATGAGAATGTATCAAATATATTTTCTTAACCATAAGATAAACAAGTTTTGTTGCGCTAATATTTTTCTTCTTGAATTAAGCCATTACTTGTGTATATCATTGTACTGAGATCAAGTGTGATAACATAGTGCGTGACCCACTTCCTATCGGTTTTTGGTGCAAATTTTCTATAATTCAGTGGAAAACTTTGCGGTATGCTTTGGATCTTAACTAATTTCATCAAGTTTTTATGGGGTAAAATTACTTAGGTTACGAAAGGCGGCCGCAGCCGCCTCGGTGGTCTAAAGGTTAAGCGTTCGCACGCGAGACTGATATGTTCTGGATTCGAATCTCGCGGGGCGGGATCATGAATGCGCACTGCTGAGGAGCCCCATACTAGGATGAAACGGCCATCCAGTGATTCCAGGTTTTCCATGATTGTCTAGCTTCAGTTGACTCATGAATTCAATTATTAAACGAATCTAATACCTACAAGTCAAAAATCTGGTTACAATTTTACTTGTTTGACGTCTTACTTCGTTAGTTCAATCTTTTATTGAATCGAACTTTTTTCCATGGTTATTATTTTCTAACATTCTTTCTCTTCTTACATTCCAGAATGTTTAGCTAATGCTGATGACGAGATTGGAGAAGCATTTTTAAGTGAAAAGCCATTAACTCAAGCTGAATTAAAAGCTGGTTTACATAGAGCTACACTTGCAAGACGATTTGTTCCAGTTTTAGTTGGTTCAGCATTACGTAACCGTGGTGTACAGCTTTTACTCGATGCCATTTTGGATTATTTGCCTAATCCTGGAGAAGTAATCTATCATGCTTTGAATGAAAGTTCTGGGTAGGTTCTTTTCATTGGTTTATCTGTTTTTTTAATGAAAATTTGTTAATATTTATTTACCCTAAACACTTATAGTACTGACCTTTAAACGATTTATGGAATTTTCAAAATATTTTGATTGGTTTAAGCTAATGTTGGGATTTTCCAGTTTCTGGGTCTTTCTAAAAGTGTTTGTAGACATTTTCTAATGAAATTATTTGTTTATATTTAACATAAATGTTAAAGAAAGTTTGCACAAAGAAGGGTTACGTTACTAATCGATGTGATTTGCAAAATCAATGAAAATTTAGAATTACGTATTAGACTTACTCTCATGGGAGGTTTTCGGCAATCCAAATGTCCTTAACCACTGGAACTATCGGTGTCTTTAGGAAAAAGTACTCATTCATAACACTGGAGGGCTAACTACCAAAGGCTCTATATCAGTCAGTCAGTCAGTCAGTCAATCAGTACCTACAATGGAAAATTTCGTGTTAATGTTCAGATCCGCAAGAATAGATCACAGGATTCACCTTAAAATTAACTTTGTTCATTGTTCAATTTGTCCTTTTTTCTCACCAGTTGGTAAAACTATACTATACTGACGAACCGATGAGGTTTAAGATAGTGTCTCTTGAATTTTTGCACGAAGTTCGAAATTCGATTATGAATCGCTTGTATCTTATGAATAACTAACAAAATACTTCTAATATTTAGTTACTAGAATGTTTATAATTGATAAATATAGGAGACAATGTACACCATGATTAATACGTTTTCAAGGGTAATTTAACGTTTCTTGATATCTAGAATCAAAGGACTAAAAACATAAGTATTGATTCGTACTGGACTACAAAGTATTTCTCTGTTTGATTCTTAATTATTACCCCTAACCGCTAACGCTGTATTCCATCCGATTCCAATTTCTAGGCCTAACCCTAAATTCTTAATAAAGCTACGACCTTTTTCGGGTTTTTGTGTGGTAAATTGTTTGTTTTTATCAATCTCATTCTGGTTGGTTAAAAGTTATTCAGAAGTCTTTGCGGTTGATCAATGTAGCATACGTTTACCCGTTGCTCTATTTCTCAAGATAATATAAAAATATTTGCACTCAACAACTGTGTCAATCTTCTTTTCGTATACCTAATGCATTTATTTATCAGGGATTGTATTTCATCTCCTAACTAGTGTTTAAATGATTTTTGTTTGAGGATGATTTACACTGATTAGTCAAGCTTTATTGAAGTTTGGTCACACAATCTAATAGTTTGAAATTAGAGACCTCTTTTCTAAATGTTTCTTTTTTAATTAATAGCTAACGGGTGTTAGAGATGGTTGGAAGAGAATTACGGGCGGCCAAACCAAAACGTGGCATCAGTGCTTGAAGACACTAACCTCTAGTCTGAGCCATGTTGGTAGATGCAGACTACTTGGTTGGGGTCCGCGTGACTTTCGTAACCGATGGTTGGAGACTCTTGGTGACATGACTCAATCGATCACAATGGTGTAGGTGTATACACTCCCTGTCTTCCCTTAAACTAAGAGATTAAAATCACTTCATAACTTTCTTTCTACAAACTAGTTCTTTCTTCCTGTACTGTATCCATATATGCAATCTTTCTCCTATATATTACCACCTTTGACCTAACCACTCCCATGAATCCGGTGTTCATCTTGCTGTGCTAATGAGGTATGGCAACCTGGACCGATGTACATATGTGCCTGGTCCTACGTTGTAGCTGACTAACTGACTGACTGCTTTAAAGTTTAACCAACTAATATCAATTCTATTATTGAAGTTATGAACTGATCTGAGTTAGACAACTATTAAAATCCTTGGAGCACTAAATAGCTATTTCGTTTCTGTAGTAATGTGAAATGTTTATCAACGATTCTGTCATCTGGAATCGAACCAAGGACCTTCGGTCCCACTCGTGAACACTTGACCTCTATATCACTGAGCGGGAATCCACTGGTGTACATACTAATATTATTACCTGTTTTAGATTTATTTAACACTTTCTATATGTGCTTTTATGTTTCAGTGAAACTAGAAAGGTCCCACTGAAACCTGAACGAAGCAGTGATAATCCATTCCTGGGACTGGCTTTCAAACTGGAAGTTAGTAATATTCTCATATTCATTACTTTTAACGTGTTTCGTTTACATATTTTCAGAGTTATTACTGATTCCCAGTTGTCTTACAAATTACATTAGTGACTTTTCCAGTAGTTTTAGTTGTTAACTACAAAACGTGTTATGCTAGTATAATCCTAACATGATTAAATTTTCGGCAATATTCGTTACAATGACATGCCTTTTATTGTTGTTAGTGCGGTTTCAATTTAATTGGGGATTATAAAGTGAGACAAACTTGAATAATTCCTATCCCGTTGTCAAACACTTGGGGAAAGCAGTTATTATCAGTTAGTAGCATATGGAGAAGAACCATAATATTATGAAAATTTTTCGTAATTAATGTATCTATCGGGGTCGTTGACAAGTTTTTTCTTTGCCCGTAATTAGAAAAAACAACGACACATGAATTTGTGTATGTAGTAGCTACAAAATATTCGTCTTCTCGGACCTTATAAGGTAGCAAGAGATATTTTTTAATGGTCTGAACATTATTCCCGGTTCGAGTTTACAGTTACAGAATTAAGTTTGAAGGTTTGGGATTAATTTGCTTGTAGTATACAACCGATACACAGAGAATTTCACCTTCGATATGCTTAAAACTATCGTTTTTACTTCTATTGAGAACGTTAGGTCCCCATAACTCATTTGGAAAAGGTCCAACATTTTGTAATTTTATTCCGAAAATTTGAACTTTGTGTTTTCACTCCAAGAGACGCTTAGTTGACCTACAGGTTACATTTCCCCCTCGGAAATCCTTGACTGTCATTGGTTGACGGACTTTTTTAGTACACTATTTTGTGGCTCTCTCAAGGATGTTTCTATCATTGCACAAATAAGCTTGCTTTGTGTACTTAGTGACTTCGCATTTTCTGGGTGCTTGTAGAATACATTCTCTACGCCTCATCAAGAATTCTCGATCTAATTAGCAGGGCCGAGGACAACGGATTAGAATAGCCTATCGTGTCACTGTGTCTTTGACCTTTGTTCCGTTTACAGAGTACGGTGAACTTGTATTAGCATTCAAGCATATCAACTTCATGATAACAAATATTTTTGTTTAAAATCTCTAACGTTCTAAGCACTTAACAAAGTAGTATTTGTACTATTCATTGTATGTAAATTTCACACATAAACTCAAAGGCGTTTATTCGATTATCATTGGCTCATCCTTATACTACGCTTCCACTCATAAATTTCACATTGTTCCGAATTAATTTAATCTGATTGATTGTTTGATAAAACTTACCTTTCTCCTAATCGATTAGTCTCATCTGTTTCCGTCTGTACACAGGCCAAATAGTGTAGCTGTACTATAGGCCTCAGACAGCAACGGTGTTTAATTGACCTTATGATTTTGAAATCAGTTTTCAACCAGTAAGAAAGGAATCTGTAAACTTTCTTTACTAGTTATAAACTTCCTGAGCAGTTAACAAATGTTTTGTAAAATTCTCATCGTATAAAGTAAGAGCTGTTTACTATGGGGGGTGGTCAGATCAAAACATGACACAAATCCATGAAATCACTGGTAAGTGAAGTGAGCCATGTTGTTAGGTGTAGATTACCTGGTTGGGATCCGCGAGACGATAGAAACCGATGGTTAGAGACCTTGAATGACATGGCTCACAATCATTCGTAATAGCGCAGGTGACTCCACTCTTTATGTTTTTTGTGGCCCGTGGTTCTCGACTCTATTTTAGATTGTATGAATGATTGTATGGATGTTTGATATCGCTGATTCTCGTATATCATCGTCGACTTAAATCGCGTTATCCAATAACGGAATTAAATAAGTCGAATAACGAGAATTGACCTGAGAATACACATATTTCGAATATGAAGCGAATGAAACATAGCAAAGCAAAAATGACACGTATGGAAGATGGCTGGGAAGCCAACTCCCTCTTTGTCAAGCGTTACTCAATATTTATAGTCAGACAAAATAAAGTTACAGACATGTGATTAATAGGATAAGAAGGGCGCACACATATACGCTCATATAAAAACAGTCTAGATTGATAGGCGAATAAATAACAAGGTCAAAGTATGGCTCGAGTAGAATGAATAAAATGGGATGTCCGAAAGCTCGAATAAGGTATATGGGCTTGGCATAATAACTGACACTACATGTTCTCCCAAATCCTAATCTTCTGAATTCTTCATGTCCCTTTTTTTTCTCTTTCCAAATTTATTTCACTGGATTATACTCCTTGAATAACATCTTCAAACACTAATTTTTCTGATTACAGCTTGTAATTTCACTACATGTAGCACTACGGAATTTGAATCGACCACTGTATCCCTGTGCCAATGTGGTGTGGCAACTCGAACTGATGTACGTACGTACGGAGTTCTACGTTGTTACTGACTGACTGACTTTTGAATTTTGCACAACAAACCGATATTCCCAGTTATTGGATTCTAATTGACTCTGTCTTAATAGCATAGTTACATCGATAGCTGTTATCCAATTCATCTATCTTATTGATACTTTCTTGTCAAATTGTAATTCACACAAAGTATATTAACTGGAAATGAATATATCAGAATTAATTTGATTTTTGTAAATGCGTTAATGAGTTAAGATATTGATTTGAAAAAAATTGTTACTATATAGGCTGATATCAACTTGATCTCCTATCATATAAGCACTGAAGTTACATACAGTGTCGATCAAACTAAATATGAGTTTATCACTTAAAAATAGTTTAGTAAGATTGCTTATTGAATTCGGCTCATTTTTTGTTGTTGTTGATCGGATCATCTTAATTTTTTAAAAAAAAATTTAGGCTAGTAAATTTGGTCAGTTAACTTATATGCGTATCTATCAAGGTTGTTTACGTCGTGGTGATTCAGTGAGAAATTCTCGTACAGGTCGTCGTATTCGAGTGTCTCGACTTGGTCGATTAAATGTTACAGAATTAGAAGATTTAGAAGCTGTTTATGCAGGAGATATTGCTGCATTTTTCGGTGTTGATTGTGCATCTGGTGATACAATGGTTGATGTAAATATGAAAGAACCATTAGCTATGGTGAGTTTTTCTACTTAACAAAGTCTGAGTAAGTTTATAACCTGATGACGGTGTTTATTTTGCTAGTGGAACATTAACTTGTCTAACATGACGCTATTTTGTAATCACGTATGCAAACTTAACTTATTAATGACATGTTTATGCATTCTTCCATAAGGCATTCACTATATATAGGCCAGTATTAATATTAAATGGGACTCGAACAAATGGAGTTGTTAGTAGTTGAAAAGCGAGTTATTTAACCACTAAACTACCTTTTTAATGACATTTAAATAGGTATGTTTTATTACTAAGTTTCTTATTAGAATCGAGATAAGAAAACCTATCTTCTCTGGTTATATTTCTAAATTAAATTGTGATCTGGATCAAGTTATTTTAAATATTGAATATTGACTACTTTCCTAATAATGTAACCGATATGCGTCTTCGAATTATCGATTTATAGTTGTTATGATAGTTGAGATTAAAACAACCTAATATTGTTTTTTTAAGTGCCAGTGAAAATGATGCACGAATATAAGCAAAGTATATTATTAATATCAAGTTTATTTTACTACGAGGTTTCAATAGATAACAATGTACTTATGATAGGCCTTCGAAATAAGAACTTAACACTTTAATAACTACTTGCAGAAAGGCAGTGTGTGTGTGTGACGAGGCTTAAGCATTTATCCCTTTGGTCTCAAAGTTACATTCCTAGTTTGATAAAAACCACCAGTAATCCAATTCCCCTTATAGGGTCCCTCAAGAAACATTCTTCCACTGTGTGAACAACTTTGAAGTAGCGTCTCTTCACATTCACTTTTAACAAGACATTATTGTTAGCTCACTGCATGATTTTATCGCCGAAATGAAAAATCCGTCAAATTTAAGTTGCTAATGGTGAAGTTGATTTTCATCACACGGAATCGAGCCCAAGACTAAATTCTCATAGTGAACACGATTTAATTCAACATGTGAATCAGAATGCACCGACCCATGTTTTCAGCTCCGACCAATTTGTGATCTAGTTCACTCCTTAACCAATGTAACTGGCAAATTTTCTGTCATCACTTCCAAGTAAATCATCTCAAAGTCACTTATTAGTCAGCTAAATAGAGAATGGTGTGTAGTGATGGCTCATCAATGATGTCGGTTTTCAATCACGTTATATTACGGGCAGACTTGGATTCAGAAAATGTGGACAACTAGATATAGCTTATGGATCTATAGATGCATACTGTCAAAAGATCCAAAAGTAGCACAAGACAGTGCTACTAGTCCTTATTTTCTAAATCGTTCTACACCTCATATCACTGTGCGAAAGTACACTATTATGGCTTCTTTATTCCTTCTGAATATATTGATATTGTATTCTATGCACCGAATTGTCTAATTGCAGAGCTTCCATCTGTGTCTATTTACATTGAATAAAGTGGACACCTTCTTCATCTATCCATACATGAACATAGATTAGCAGTAAGGCGAAACGGTATGCATTATTAGCAATATCAGTACACACAGACAACCGAATATTTAAATTGGATTAGGTGAATTTTGAAATTATGAAGCATGGGAGTTCTAAGAACGTGACATAATTTTTAGAAGTCCGTCATCCAAATCATTCGGCAATTTATATGCATCTCGATATAGATCCGATCTGTCAACCCATATGGAAGAGACTAACCAATCAAATGTTCAGAGGTTGACTGAATAAAACATTCAACTGGAACACTAAGATATGATGATAGTAGAACTTATTTAGACAACCAATCATAAACAAGGCTATCAAAGCTAGTTGATGTAACACTCGTAGTGTGGTGCGTGCTACTTATATTGATGTAAGTAGTATATAACGCAAGTTAAGGAACGTAATGTCTGGCAGCAGAAGATGGGGAAAATCAAGAAAGAAAGAGCGAAAACACAGTGGAATTTGTAAGAAATCGCATGAACAATGAAATGTGAGACAATGGATTAATGTTTGCAACGGCAAATTAATGATTTACTATATGGTTTTTCTATTTTACCAAGTAACTCTGTAATTTTATGCTAAATACAATTCGGTTGTCCTCACCTGTGTTCCCCTTCACTACAGTAGAATAATTGAAAAGCTCACTTCTGCATGAAGTATAGACTGATAATGCTTCCCAGAATGACAATAAAAGTTCTACAAGCAAAACTATGTAGCTTAGCGAACACAACATAAGAAGTATCCATTTGAGTTCCAAATCATTCTATCATTTCTTTGGAATATTTGATTTTTTCTTTACTATAGGAATCAATGTTCATCCCAGAACCAGTTGTATCAATGTCAATTAAACCGACTAATAAATCAACTATTGAGTCATTTAGTAAGGGTTTAGCACGATTTACACGTGAAGACCCAACGTTTATTCTTTCACAAGATTCTGATACTGGTGAATCAATAGTGTCTGGTATGGGGGAATTACACTTGGAAATTTATGCTCAACGTTTAGCACGAGAGTATAATGCACCATGTACATTAGGTAAACCTCGTGTTGCATTTCGTGAAACATTAAGTGAACCATTCGAGTAAGTTTGTTTTTGTTGTTTCTAAAATCATAATGTGATAATGATTTGATATTCAGGACATTGTTACATACTTTGATTAGAATTAATTACTTTCCTGTTACTAGACTTTCCCGTGTACATATAAGTGCAGTAGTATTGTGAATAAATTTTCCTATTATTTAATGACCTTCGCATATAATGTACATTCATGGAAGTACATGGTAGAGAAAAAATTGACAAACATAAAGTAATGTGGTTTGGCTGTATGTTGACAGATTACTTCCTTTCGACCCTGGATAAAAACAACTGTTCTCTTCATCTTTCTTTTTCATAGATAGTAGATGTAGTAGGCAAAGATGGCAAGTCAGTTGTTAAGACTGTAAGTCTTCATCGACACATTTATCAAATATATGTGTTGCGTATCAACATATAATGCTGGTTGGAATAGGTCGGTAGGAAGATAACAGAGGTTAAACCCAATGTGTGACATCAGTCCATTCAATCATTGATCAGTGACCTAAAAAGTTTTGGTTGATGCGGTCTTCCTTGTCTGACCTCACAGGGGAGTTGGAAAACCCTGATTCCAAACCAATGCTCCACATGGGCCTCAGGATACTGAAGAAACAAATAGCATATAAACCAATTGTTGGTCATCGGCTACCATGGGATCACATCTCCTTACGTTGCTCCACTGTCTTGTGGATCAGACCTTTGTGCCAAAAGCTCCGGGTGTGGTCCCTAAGAAAACCACCTGCTTCGGTTTGGGCACCCGGATAGTATCACAGCCCACTCACAAATCAAGTGACTTATGTGGCGCATTTGTATTCGGTGCCTCTTTGTATCAATATTTATGTGTTTAGATAAATAAAAAATAAAGAGATTTATTGAGAAATATGAGTAAAGTAGGAAGAAAACATCTGTAGAAACCATAGTAAACAAGAAATCTATTTTCATTTAATTTGAATTCATTTGAAGGTGACAATCTTGTAGTGACCAATAAACATTTACTTTTCGTCTTGTTAGTTTTGTTTGAACAACGCATAATTGTGCTAGACTGTATATTTGAGATGATGGAGATGATTTGTAGCTCAGGTGAATGATTTTGATGGAGTTTTGTTCTCTGAGCTGGATGGTTTGGTCATGGAGCTTTCATCGTTCTTCTGAACGATATCATCAGCACAAACTTCAGGTAGGTACCACGACCAAACCATCCAGCTCAGAGAACAAAACCCCATCAAGACTGTATATTTATTATGATTGATTGACTTATTTGCTCCAGTCAATGTAAGAAAGAATCTTGCTCAAGAAATTTATCTGGAGACCTTAAAACAAGTATTATCTTAACGAAATGCAATTGCATTGAAATATGATCACAATGTAGGACACAAAATTAGTATACCAAAAGAGTGACAAATTGTTATATTTAGAGCTTATATTCTTAATATACCGCATATAACTTAAGCAATCGAACGCTTAGGACCTTTCGAGTCGCAAATAAGAAGACTGGAGAAAGTGCTTGTTGGCAAGAATCAAAATGTACAGAAAATCATGGGTATTTATAGATATTACCGTTTGTTACATCAACATTATAATTCAACCAATCCGCAAAGAGGCATGTTATGCCACTGACCATTAGTATTATGTCAAGTTGATTTTCTAAAATCCTCCATTGCGTTCCGATTGGATGGAACTTTTCGGCTCCTCTAGGTTCTCTGGAGGCTCTGTCGTAGCTCTCGAAAGTCCTCCCAGCACAAACCAGTAGGGCGAAATCGTTGTCAGTCATTAAAAACACGAACATCTTGTCTAGGTGAGTAGGGATGGGGATTTTGATGATAAGAAATATAAAAATCAGAATTTGAAAGAATAATTAACAAATTATTGGGCAACAGAAACAAATTTTCTGAGATTTAAACATCCATTAACCTTGATTTAACCATATTTCGCTACTGTTTGGCACTTCCACTATGAATAAAATCTCTGCCTTTTCATCATCGTTCACTATTTGTTCACACTGAGACTGGGTAAAAAAAAGCTAGAATATAGTTGTTAGCGGGACATAGACTAGACTAGACTAAAGCATGCTCAATGCATGATTGCTTTGGTGCACGCTGATTGGATAAGAATTAGCCAATCAGCGCTAGCCGATAGTTGGAGAATATTCTGGATTCTTCTTATGTAAAAACTATAAATATACCGACGTTTTCCCCTATTGTGCTTCCTACTGGCTTCTGACTTGCTATTTGGAATATAATCTTTTTCCTGTTCAACCGTGTTCTGATTTGGGGACTTGTCGAGTGAATCTGTGTCCGAGAATACTAAGCAATAGGAATAGCTGGGTCATTAACCGTAAGAAGCGAGAGATTATAACAATAGTGATCAGATTATTACATATCTTTATGGTATAAAAGCAGTTTATATAAAACCGATATCTGTTAGTCTGCCAGAACTCTATTGTTTGAGTCCTAGAAAGCGATAGTACATTCAATGTCTTTGAGACATTATCAGACCTATGGTATAGAATAGTACCCAATAGTAATTCTACTCATACCTGTTCAATAGTTACTTTTTTTTCCATTTTCTTATTCTTTCTTTCACCTTTATTCTAGATTTGATTATCTTCATAAACGACAATCTGGTGGTGCTGGTCAATATGGTCGAGTAATTGGTATACTTGAACCTTTACCTCCTAATTCTTATACAAAATTGATTTTTTCCGATGAAACAGTTGGTACAAATGTACCTAAAAATTATGTTCCAGCTATTGAAACTGGTTTTCGTAATTCTTGTCAAGTTGGTCAGTTAGCTGGACAAAAAATTACTGGTTTACGATTTCGTTTACAAGATGGAGATAATCATTGTGTAGATAGTAGTGATTGGGCTTTTCAACAAGCAGCTGAAGGTGCTATGAAACAAGGTAAATGTTTTTTTCTTCAATTGAATTAGTTCAATTAATTTACAGAATAAATGTTAAATAAGGTAACGCTAACATTGATTGTAGACATGGCTCAAAATCGTTTGTAATGGAGCAGGTGCATCTACTCTTTGTGTTCTCCCAAATTCTAATCTTCTGAATTCTTCATGTCCCTTTACTTGTTCTCTTTCCAAATTTATTTCACTGAATTATACTCCTTGAATAACATCTTCAAACCCTAATGTTTCCGACTACTGCTTATACTTTTACTACCTCTACTACTATGGGATTTGAATGGACAACTGCATCTCTGTGCTAATGTGGTATGGCAACTGGAAGTATTGTATATTCTTAAGTTGTTGCTGACTGACTGATTGTAGATATACATTCAATTCATTGTATTTTATTGTTTTCCCTACGAGACTATAATTTATGGACGAACCAATCAGGTACAAGATAACAGATCTTAGATTTTGGCGCCAAATTTACTCATTCATTTGGCTAAATAGAGTTTTGGCATCATAGATGATATCAGTTCGTGATGAAAACCATAAATCTATTTCGTAACCTTAACCATCAACTATAAGTCATAATTCTAATTACTCACACTGGTTTATAACCCTCATTTGATCGTGGTTATTAAGTGAACACTCTCAAAGTCAATATATCGTCTCTCAAAGAATTGTATTCTATAATCAGTATGATTCTTTCTCTTATTAAAATTGTGAAGAGAACCAACTGTGTGTGACATGTCAATTTTTCGTAGTTACCAATGATTATTATTTGCGCCTACCAACGACTACAATGAAGACGCTAAAGATCAATTCTACAATAGGCTGCAGCCTCAGCAGCAGTAGGTCTCAATATACACAAAGGGAAATACAGGATTCTCCGATACAACACATAATGCACCAATCCAATCACAATTGAGGGAGAAGATTTGGAAGATGTAAAAACCTTTACGTATTTGGGCAGCATCATTGATGAACAAAGTGGATCTGATGCAGACGTGAAGGCGCGGATCGGCAAAGCAAGAGCAGCATATTTACAACTGAGGAACATCTGGAACTCAAAGCAACTGTCAACCAACACCAAGGTCAGGATTTTCCATACAAATATTAAGACAGTTCTACTGTATGGGGCAGAAACCTGGAGAACTACGAAATCCATCATCCAGAAAATACAGGTGTTTATTAACAGTTGTCTACGCAAAATACTTCAGATCCGTTGGCCGGACACTATTAGCAACAACGTACTGTGGGAGAGAACAAGCCAGATCTCAGCGGAGAAAGAAATCAGGAAGAAGCGCTGGAAGTGCATAAGACACACATCGAGGAAATCACCCAACTGCGTCACAAGACAAGCCCTCACATGGAATCCTGAAGGCCAAAGGAGAAGAGGAAGACCAAAGAACACATTACGTCGAGAAATGGAGACATACATGAGAAAAATGAACAAGAATTGGATGGAACTAGAAAAGAAGGCCCATGACAGAGTGGGTTGGAGAATGCTGGTCAGGGGCCTATGCTCCATTGGGAGTAACAGGCGTAAGTAAGTAAGTAAGTAAGTAATGATTATTACTTAATTACGATTGTAAGCGTTTAACGCAAATCCTTGAAACAAAAAAGACTCTTTTCTTCGTCTAAATGAGTAACTATTGAATGTTTTCTTTTCTTCTATATCAATATGTATCTATTCAGCTATGGATGAAGGTTCCTGGTTATTATTAGAGCCAATTATGTATGTGGAAGTATCTGCGCCAGCAGAATTTCAAGGTGTATTAATTGCCACTGTAACACGACGTAATGGTCTTATTGTCAGTACGGAAGTTAGTGAATCTTATGCTATGGTTAATGCAGAAGTGAGTTCTATATTTTTTTTTCTTAAAATTCGATATGAATATTTTCAATCAATCATGATCATTAAATTATTTGTTTCCTCTTGTTGTGTGAAACTTCGGAAACTTCTTGTATTTACCATGTGTAATACTCTTCGTACCAGTATACTTTACACGATCGACTGCTATCGAAAGAAAACACAGAATAATGTGAACATCAAATATACTCAGTTAGTCAGCTACAACGTTGAACCAGGCACATATATGCATCGGTCCAAGATGTCATACTTCATTAGCACAACAAGATGAACACCGAATTCAAAGAACTAGTTGCTTCAATGGTAGTAATAGATATAAAAGAAAAATTGCATATAAGGATATAATACAGGAAGAAAGAATTAGTTGATAGAAAAATATAAAACAATTTTAATATCATGGCATCAAGCATACTACAAAAAGAAGCCCTATTGATTTGTACAAAAGTATAAAACAAAATTACTCAAGGTTTTACTTAACAGTTACATAAAAAAAGCTTCTATTAACTTCTTAAATACTCGTTCACCTTGAATGATTCAACCGAAATCAACATCCGAATTGTTCTCGACCCATTTATGCAAGACAAATCCTTAAGTGTTGTCTATCCCCACAGATGATATAGTCATGTATGGTGAAGACGCTGATAAAATGCAGAGTCTTTTGATAGCACTGTGAAACAATGCCAGGATGTTTGGGATGAGCTTCTTCCCCTCTAAATGCAAGTTGTTGCTTCAGGACTGGCCTGCGTCAACACCTAAATTACGGATAGGGTAGGGAGCAAAGTAGTCGAACGCGTCGACAACTTCACTTATCTTGGAAGTCTAATCAGCCTTAATAGGTTGATGTCTGACGAAATCTCTGCACGCATTTAAGAAGCTTCTTTGGCTTTTTCCAACTTACGTCATCTATGACGAAGGCGAGATATCCGTCTATCATTTAAAGAACGAGTATACTGCGCTGTAGTTCGTTCTGTTCTACTTTACGGCTGCGAAACGTGACCATTAAGAGTAGAAGATACTCGTAAGTCACTAGTATTTGACCACAGATGCCTTAGAAATATTGCTCGCATCTGCTGGGATCACCGGATAAGTAATAGTGGGGTTAGACGCATGGTATTAGGGAATAATGGTAAATCAAGTGGTGAGGTTGTGAATCTTCGCCGACTGAGATTGTTGGGTCACGTGTTGCATATATCTGAACACCGATTACCACGACGTGCAATGCTAACCGGTGTTCGGGATGGTTGGAAGAAAGTTAGGGGTGGCCAAACCAAAACGTGGCATCAGTGCTTAATGTCACTAACTTCTAGTCTGAGCCATGTTGGTAGATGCAGACTACTTGGTTGGGGTCCATGTGACTATCGTAACCAATAGTTGGAGACTTGGTGACATGGCTCAGAATCGATCACAGTAGGTAGGTGTATACACTCTCTGTCTTCTCTTAAACTATAAGATTAAAATTATTTTATATCTTTCTTTCTACAAACTAATTCCTTCTTTCTGTATTATATCCGTATATAAAATCTTTCCTTTATATATTACACCATTGAATTAACTGCTTCTATAAATCCGATGTTCATCTTGCCGTACTAATGAGGTATTTAAACTTGGACCTGATGCATGTATGTGCCTTGTCCTACATTGTAACTGACTGACTGTCTATCCTCTTATCACCACCATGTAATCACATAGTCCGATAACGATCATTACTATTCTATTATCTATATTATTACTGACTAATAATAATAATAATAACATATTTGATTTTCGGATGACTCGGATATCACAGATCTGAAAATATCATCATTAAATACATGCGACCTGATTTGTATATGTGTATTTAAAAAGAATGTAACATAGAAATCTAATTGTTATGCAATATTTTTAAACAGGTCGTTAAGCTTTTCACACCTAACAATTATTCATCCTCTCCACTGTTTCTAATAGGTACCATTAAATGATATGTTTGGCTTTTCCGGTGAATTACGCAGTATTACTGAGGGTAAAGGTGAATTTACAATGGAGTATCTAAGGTATTGTCCAACTCGACAAGCAACTAGCGATGCATTAATTGAAGAATATGAAGCAGCTGAAGAGGCGAAATTGATTGCTAGCGGTAAAGGTGGAGCAATTACTAGAAGAAAGAAGAAGTAATTGATTATCGACTCTTATTGAAGGGACTAAGACAAGCAAGTTATTCAATTGTTATTTATCATTCTTAAATCAAGTCTACTAAATAAGTCGAAATTTTAATATAGGAAGCTGTTGTTGACGAATATCATGCTAACGATAATCCATAAATGTTGTTACGGGCTTGTCATATAAGTGCTCGCTGTTTAATAAGGCTCTCGGATTATAACGAAGTAATTCCCAAATCCTTGCTGATGATATCCAATGATGCTATTCAACTGACATTTGTTTGTGACGACAATTATCTTTGAGTTAGTATTTGTTGAAAGGAAAAGGATTTGAAGTCTCCAGGAAATCGCTTATTGAATCATTATTTTTTTGAAGTTGAATCTATGTTTTTTTCCTTTGAAACCGTCAATCGTGTTTAAAGGTGCTGTTTTTTTATTGGTCCATGTCTTTTACTGTACTAAGTTCTTGATGTACTTCTGAGTTCATTGTACACGTGCTCATGCACGTATTTCGCCTACTTAGATCCGTATGCTTTATTCTCTACCAAATAAATCTTCATTGGGAGGTTAGATTGGTCAGAGTTGAAAGAAATAGAGTGTTTTTGCATTTAATAATCAAAACTAAGCCAAAAGTTTATGCCTTTTAGTTCAAGAGAAATCATATCCCAATCTGTTGGGTATGAATAATATCACAGAATATTTTGTTAATAGCACTCAATATGAAAATAAGCAAATTATTCAGGATACGTACCACATAAATGCAATGAAATAATATTAGTAACTAATGTAGACAAATCGTTTACAAGTAATAAGAGCGAAATAAAACGCTGAGATTATGGTTGGCAAATTTCACTGTATTCAATCTTTAGAAAAGTTTGAACATCACTTGACCTACTTATATTAGTAAGTAGTTTGGGGTAATATACAAAAAAAGATGATTATGACATGTGTATTTAAATTTCGCTAGTCTAGGAAGGCAGAGTTAATTCAAAAAATGTATAAACTTAGGAATGGGCCTTTAGAAATTTCTATGCAAATCACTTGAAACTGTTATCAGGTAAATCTAGTGGTTTTTAATTACCCCAAAATGCTCTAGTACGACCGAGGATGTGGGAAAGTTCGCTTCCCCTCACGGAATGCCCTCACATGGCCTAATCACTACCTTCTGGCGGCGGCAGAATTGTTTACGAAATTGAGAGGACAGAAGGTGGATATACGGCGCTTTAACCGGGTTGATGAGTACAGAATATCCACCTAGGGGAGTTGGGAAACCCTGAATCCACACCAATGATGCACATGGGCTCTAGGATCCTGAGGGAACAAATGGCATATACACTTATTGTTGAACGCTGGATACCGTGGAACGTCGCCTCCTGTTAATAATTAACAGATAAACACAACATGATGTACACCCTACAGTTAGAATTGAAACTGATTACTGAACGTTATTATGTAGTATAATACCGTATATACGAGAGTCAGAAAAGAAGAGAATTTACATTGAATGCAAACGGACATGACAGTAATAGTTTGCTTATTATCCTGATTATTATAAACTAATAAGTGACAAACCTCTGTTTTTTCTCTCACCTTATTTTACATATCTTCCCTTTTTTATGAAAGAATTGATTTAAGAAGTCAATGAAGAGGAAGGATTATTCTCTTTCTGATGGTAAATCATTCATACATATGTCTTTCTCAATTGTAAAAAGAACATCATTCATATATACAATGTATATTTTCCGTGTCACCTTGTCCCTGTTGTTTGTAGTTTGTTTTAATAAATTGATTTGATACTAGAAATTATTTCTATTTTGTTCTCAATATTATTTTGGCGACATTGTGACAAAATCCGACTCACACGTCCGCGTCGTGCCTCCTGAATAGTGCGACAGATGATCTATGAACTAACGTGAGCGGTAACCCGAATGGTAGAGATCGAGATAATCACCCACTCGATCGAAACCCTCAAACGATTACGAACTCCACAAAGAAAAGCAGCACAATGACTCTTGGATGGGAAAACGACAAGAAACTTACTAAAGTGGTGCATGTAATGTACGGGGTTGCTCCTTACGGGGAAAACTCCAACTGGTTGCAGAAACAGCTATTCTAGCCCCGGTAGTTGTGCAGTGCTTCAACGTGGCCTGTTTCTCTCCAGATGGGTCTACTAGGCTTCACCAACCTGTTTGGCTGGAAGGGGGGGGGAAATTGTGACACTCAGTAAGTATCTGTCCGGATCCTGGTCTACTCACCATTACTGATACACTAATACAAATCGATAACCAAGTGCAGTATACACAGTAATAATTGTTCAGTAATTTTTTCGATGAATATCATCCAGATAATTCATTTCAAATTTTTAACCATAATGAATTAGCTGAAGGTTCGTTCCTGTAATAATAGTCAGTGGGCAAAGTAGATATAAACATTCTTTATTTTTCCAATTTGTTGGGGTTCATATTCACAAATAATTCGAATTAAAAGCTTTTTAGTCACCCTATTTATTCCGTCTAAGAGTTGATTACCTGATTTTGTGGGGAAAAAAACTCTGCCCATGTAAAGATGTTATGTAGAATTTTCATGACACAGAATGAAAACAGTCAGGTATATCATAGTGAAGAGAGTTTTTTTCATCGTTCCAGAAATTTTAATAATAATCTTAGTGGTTGTTATTCTATGTACTTCATATCAAGATGAACTTGTGTTTTGTATGTTTTTATTTGTTTCCATCCACTTATCCGAAAAGTAGCTCAGTACCAATATCTCTTACTGTGATTATAGGTAACACGAAGATGAATTGGTCAGGGTCTATTAGTTTCCTCAAGATTTCAGGCACACCTTAACGACTTGTCTTAAATAGCACAAAAAATCAAAATTCAAATTCTTTGATTGAGATCATGAACCGATTGATGTTAGACCATCACAATTGAAAACCTGGAAGCACTGGACGGCCGTTTCGTCCTATTGTGGGACTCCTCAGCAGTGCGCATCCACGACCCCGCGAGCGGAATCCGAACCCAGGGCCTTCGGTCTCGCGCGCGAACGCTTAACCAACTGGACCACTGAGCCGGCACCCAGTGGTGATAGTTTCTAACATCAACCAATCCACGAAATTGCGCGACCAACTTCCATTGTACTGAGGTAGATACCTGTCTCTACCCGACAAGGATTAGCTCCACTGGTCACCATTGGATGCCGGCTCAGTGGTCCAGTTGGCTAAGCGTTCGCGCGCGAGACCGAAGGCCCTGGGTTCGAATCCCGCTCGCGGGGTCGTGGATGCGCACTGCTGAGGAGTCCCACAATAGGACGAAACGGCCGTCCAGTGCTTCCAGGTTTTCAATTGTGATGGTCTAACATCAATCGGTTCATGATCTCAATCAAAAAACTTAATAATCTCCACAACCCCTATACTAGTAATCAAAATTTAAACTTAAGGTACGATAAGAAAACAGAATTTTCAGTGAACTCACAATAAGTGAAGGTAAACTATTAAGTATGTTGGCAGGATACAGTTAAAGTAAATTAAATGTCACGAATTCATGTAAATACATAGTAATGTAACACAACAATGTGGAGGAATTGTGTGACGTTTCAAAAACGGTTGATAATAACATACACCTGTTACTCCCGATGAAGCATAGGCCACCGATCAGCATTCTCCAACCCACTCTGTCCTGAGCCTTCTTTTCTAGGTCCATCCAATTCTTGTACATTTTTCTCATGTCTGTCTCCATTTCTCGGCGTAATTTGTTCTTTGATCTTCCTCTCCTCCTTTGGCCTTAAGGATTCCATGTGAGGGCTTGTCTTGTGACGCAGTTGGGTGATTTCCTCAATGTGTGTCCTATCCACTTCCAGCGATTCTTCCTTCGCTGAGATCTGGTTTGTTCTCTCCCACAGTTGGTTGTTACTAATAGTGTTTGTCCAACGGATCTGAAGTATTTTGCGTAGACAACTGTTAATAAACATCTGTATTTTCTGGATGATAACTTTGGTAGTTCTGCAGGTTTCCGCCCTATACAGTAGAACTGTCTTGAAATTTGTATTGAAAATCCTGACCTTGGTGTTGTTTGACAGTTGTTTTGAGTTCCAGATGTTATTCAGTTGTAAGTATGCTGCTCTTGCTTTGCCGATTTTGATAATAACATAAGTTACTGTATATTTGTTGACAGTAAAGTCTACTACACAAGAATGAGCCAAATGAGAAACCATTGTTGACGATAAGACAAGAAAGAAGTAATTATCTCGATAATACTAAGTCAAGTTAGGGGAGGTGAAGAAATTTCATGAAATTTAATCCATACAGGTCACATTCAGTGTTAAATTCTAACCTTGACTGTTAATCTAAATAAATTAGAATAGTTGCTACAACAGCAGAAAAGATTTATTGAACAGTATGTATAGCTAACCCTTCTGATGACGTTCGATGTTCTGTGCAGCATTTACGCCTGTTACTCTTCGTGGTAGAACATAGGCCGTCTATTAGTATTCTCCATCCAACTCTGCCCTGGGCGATCCTTTCCAGTTGCTATTCATCCTTTTTATATGTGCATTCGATTCTCGGTCAAGTGTGTTCTTTCACCTTCGTCTTTTCCACTTCCCTTCAGGATTCCAAGTTAGGGCTTGTATTGTGATGCAGTTTGATCATTTCTCACATGTATGTCCTAACTGATAATTCTTGTCGACTGAACGCTATATTCGTTTTCCTAAGCTATTCTGGTAGCCCGCAGGCTAGAACTACACAGTGACTTGAACACCAGAGAGGACGCAAGTATGAGAGAAAATACTTTACTCCAAGGTTCATTCTTGTACAGAAACACATTGGTATTTATAGATGTTAACGTTTGTTAAATCAACATCATAATTCAGCCAATCCGTTAGCGATATATTATGCTACTGACCAATAGTAGCACGCCACGTTGGAATTCTAGAATGCCCCATCGTGCTGAGATTGGCTAGGACTCTTCGGCTCCTTTTAGGCCTCTGGAGCCTCCGTTAAAGTTCTCCGAAAG